TGCTTATTACAACGCGCACTCGTTCTGACATCGCATCTATCGCCATGCAGCCGTCTTGTTTTTGTTTTAGAATCCCGGGTCACAACATTGGAAAGTGCTGTCCGTGTATTGCGCTATTTGAGGTCGACTCGTCATTACGGAAACAAGGTGGAACCGGAAAAGTGGTGGCCGAAGCTTTTTCGGATACAGACTGGGGCAGCAACACTGATTATAGACGCTCTATATCAGGTGTTTTGATTAATATAGGTAATAACTCGGTTGTGTTCAAGTTCAAGTTCCAAAAAACTGTCGCACTGAACCCGGCAGAAGCTGAGTATATGGCTTCCTGCTTATGTATACAAGAATTACATTGAACGCGCACAATGCTCAAGGACATGAGTCACAAACAAGTGGGAGCCACGCAAATATGGATCGGCAACGAAGGAGCTATATTTTTGGCAAGCAACGCAGGCTACGAAGCTCGTACAGCATGTAGACATCAGGTACCACCTTATCTGATAGAGCGTCCAGCAAAGATACTGAAGATCGATTTCGTTGATATGAAGATCAACTAGCAGAGATGCTGATGACGACACGCGGAACGAAGATTCTCAGGTTTCTACGCAAGTCAACTGGTATCAAGATCAAATAAGCTGCAAGCCACAATCAAAATTTGCAGTGAGTGTTGTTTACACCGCTGAATGCATGTGGATGACTGTACAAAGATTAGAGTAATGATCACAGTTACTGTCATGATTATGCAAATGATTACAGATAAAATGGAGCTCGCTCATTGGTTTAGATAAGTCAGATTACAATGAGAAGGCTTAGAAGTAGCACAGAGTAGCGAACTGAGGAGCTTCAATAATATATACACGCCATTCTTGCCATCTTTTTTACATTGATATCACATGCTGCAAATATGCTATCTGGCAAGGTGATTGAGTACTTTGTGGTAGTAGATGCTGCTAGCCAAATGATCGTGAATGAGTTGTTTTGATGCTGAGTAGTGATAGCCTCCCAACTAAAGTAAATGAAGTTCGAGCCAACGCGAAGTGAGATTAATTAGCTGACTGGATAAATATCTGATTTAACGCTGAGCAACTATTAATGTTCCCGTACAATATAATGGAAATGACATTTGATCTGATTATATTTAAGAGACTGAATCAATATACATCGTAGAAAAAGAATTCATCAGCAAATAATACGGCCGTAAAGTTAACTTCTTAGATTATACAAAATCAGGGAAGTAGGATATTTTGAAAGAGTTCGTTGCTCACATGTAATATCCCAGGTGAATATGATAGTAAAAATGGGATTCAAAGCTCTTCGTTATATACAATGGAAAGTTGATGAGCATGAAAATCATCCGTCACATTGCCGAATCACACCCGATCCAATCACAAACGTGTACAAAAAAAACTAATTAAGAAAAACATTTCGTTAACGCTAAGCTACTCCATAGCACGTTTGCTTCCAAATCGAGCAACAGCAAGATTGGAAACAGATCCACAGCACCAGAGGCTACCGAGGAAGCTCCTGACTTCTCATATGAGTCAGCACCTTAATCTTCATCATCTCATTTGGGGAGTGATGGTGATGGCGTAACATCTGAAACAGTGAAGCTACTCGGACCAACCAGAACTTACCATGGCGCTGCCAACATTGAAACGCTCACCAAACAATTGGGGAAAGTTTACACATCCCGGCTCGCGAAAGAGCATACAAAGAAGAGGCGCTAACAGCTTCATCATAACTTTAACTCAAGTGTATTAAATACACTTTTCCTGTACAGCTTGTCAAGAAGTTACTGCATTTCCTTTTTATGCCTGTATTATCATCCCTCATAGCCGTAGCGTAGCCCCTGTTAGAACTTTCAAGCGCTTCACAAATTTATTCAATTGCTCATTGTATGCTAGATTGAACTCTCGTGATTTGATATGACATTTGCTCGAGCAATATCTCATAGTCGTGCTCAGGCTCATTGAGAAGGCTGAAGAGATGCTTGTCAAAGCTTTTCTCTTCTTCAATCAGGTGCCATGAGTCAACGAAGTATTGGGAGATGAGCATAGACTTTTAATTGATTGCACCTTTCCGCGTCATAAACGCGCGTGTGATCCAGTGAAATTCATAGCATATACACGGCGTCCAGATGTCATTTGAATATGATTAGCTTTTTGGATTGAGTGTCCTCTCGAATATTTAAATTTGAAGTGATTGATCACTTCCTGTTTGAGTGAAACATCTACGAGAGCGTATTTACAGCTTAGCAGGTGCTTTGAAGAGCTTGTCATTGCTCATGTTGAGATCTTGGAAGAATATTTGTTTTTGTTCATCTAGATTATTGGTTTTAGATTTGACCTTGACATTTTTTAATCTGTGCTTATATATATCGATGCATGAAGAGTTTCGCGTCAACCATGCCTACGCACAGGGCGTAAAAATTTGCATGAAAATTCTGTTCGATTGACGCTGCACAGCTCCATGCCGGTCACGCTCAGTATATCTGACACAAAAGTCTAAGAAGCAAGTGAATCTATATGATAAGGGTAAAGGAATGAATTTACACATGACTCAAGGTAAAATGTCTGTGTGGACTTGATGGACGGAGACCATAGAAATCAATTCTGTCGAAAGGATTCATGGACTTCCTTTAATAAAAGCCAACAGCTGGCTGTGTGATGGATAATGTTGCCAACATCATTGCCAATTAAATAGTAGATGTTTGCTTGAAAGATGGATTTTGGCTCGGGGCTTGCAAAATGCTTCTACGTAAGGATTGCAAATTAACCCAATGATGCTTTGCCACCTTGTCTAAACTGGAGCCGAGTTCAAGCAATTCGTATAGTCGGCCGCTACATTTCGGATAAATATAATGCTTGAAAACTTCAAAGACAATATTGCCATTGTTAAAGATGTTTGTAAAGGTCAAAAAGAACCTGCATATGAGGGAGTCGCGTTTCGCAAAAATGTGCTAATGCTAATAGCCGCACCCGTTCAAAGCAAATATATCTTTACCACAGCCCAAATAGATAATTCTCCCCGTAAAAAATCTGTGAGCCAACATTTTTTGGTTATGAAGCGAGGTTGACCGTATTGCTGGGTGTTTGAAAGTGCTTTTATGCAAAGAAGCACATTTTCGCTGTAGCTTTTTTACGAGCCATATTAAACTGGTGGTAGTGCTCTCACGAGCAATCCTCTCCAGGTAGTGAGTGATTCAGTCTTAATGTACCCGACGATAGCCATGGACGTATGAGTTATTGCCTTGAAGTTAATCGCCGTGAAGAGATAATCACATGTTGGCTTGCAGTAACCAATATTTTTTAGAGTAGACCAATTTGAAAATAAGTCAAATATACGTTCCTATCGGCTTGTCGAGTATTCGGAGATGGATTTTTACAAAGCCCGATGGATTTTAAGTCAATGTTAAATTTGTAATTAGACGCGCAGAAACGATGTTCATCCATCTCTTTGAAGCTGCGCTCACTGATTTATCGTCAAGTTGAACACTAGGTGGATTTTCGACTAAACGGATCTATCGCTTTAAGATGAAAATTCTTAACTCTCTGCTCGCGCTTTCCCCCTGCGAGGGGTTTCAGGCTTTCATTTTTTATCGAAAAAATCTATGCTCCAGAAATCGGACTCAGAACTAGTTGGACAATATCCCTTTGTGATACATTGGCATCGCTACAACAGTCGTCGCAGCATAATGAGTAAATACTTTATGCATCAGTTCACCAATTCATTTCTATAGTTAATATTCAACGATTCTGGTAACAATTACAATAAATGAATCAAAAGTTTATATCTAGAAATGTTGCAAACGATGTACAAGACCAAGTATATGACGAAATCCTTATTTAAAAAATGCAATGGGATGTCACAATACTTCAGATACTCAACCAAGCGGTAGACAAGTCAGCAATTGTACACCTGCTGCTAGAAAAAACGCAAAAATTACTGGCTCTTTGTAAGGGCAAACACAACACCTTAAATGGTATGTTCATGATAAGGTAAAGTGAAGGAATGGATGACTACATATGCTGTCGCACAGAATCACAGAATTCCTCATCTGTAAATCCTGTAGCATAAAAACTCATGATCAGCTTTCCACCTGGTGAGATCGAGAACTCCCGAATAGTTCCCAGCTGATAACCGTGTTCAAAATCGAGAAATTAATTCAAGTCAGAGCAACTCTCATGCTTTTTTGGCAGTTTTGAGCAGGCATATGCTTGTTTTATCTGACTGGCTGTTCAGTCTTATGAGATTTTTTTTAGCGTTAGTGCGGTACAAATGCTATGATTATTTCAACAATCTTTGTTCTTATAAGTCAAAACATACTGATCGCCGTTCAAAACGAATTGTCGATTATCGTAGAATTCTCAATATTTCTTAAGTAGAACAAAAGCTAGTAGTGATGGCATGTGGGTAGTTCTTTTGAGTGACCTCGCATTAGGGTTAGCGTGGAAGTGCATCGTCTTGTGCAATTAACTATGTCGATCTTAGCTGTACACTTCGATTGAAATGGTCAGATCGACGGATGTGCAAATCACTGCGTTTTTACGCAAACAAACTCTCAAAGTGATTCGGCTCGAATCTAAATCTGCTTCTCCACTGTTCTACTAATAAGATATAGCTCGTCTTTGGACCCAATTCTTCAATACATTTCATTCGCATGAAATTTTGAAAATATGCGGTAACAAGCTGCACAGGTCCTGACGTCCTGAATACATACATAGTTCAGCATCTAGAAGTATTTAATCTACAATATCAAATCAACACATGTTAATTTAGGACGTTCGATCATATTTCAGTTCGCAAGTCAGACTGAAGAAGCCGGACAGAATTTCGCCATATTGCTTTTGACTTACCATAAGGTTGTCTGATCGGCATCAGTATCTGCATCTCTAACGTAGATATTTTCAGGTGCACCAAAGCACTTGAAACTAGTCATCACATTGCAACTTGCGCCTTTGTGACCTCATCCATCTAAAACCAAAATCCTTCGCTTACCGAGAATGCGCGTGAATACTACCGTGTTGATAGCAGCTATTGCTCTTTTTTCCAGTCAATGCCTTGTGACCGCGACAGAGAATACCGAAGGCCTGAAATCGTTCAGCAAATATTTCGAGGAACAAGGTGCGACCCTAACGGACAATTCTTCATCTTCTTCATCTTCGAATGCTGTTACCGACGTCTTACAAGATGATAGTGATGCCAATGTCATCCCCAATTCATCCAAACATGCTTTTGACAAGACCAGTGGTAGTGCTGTCAGTGATGATGATGATATCAAAAAGTCATTCAACGACTTCAGCGAGAAAGACCTCGACAAGGAGGATTCGATATACAATACGTTCAAACCAAATGAAAGCCCAAAACCATGGATTCCGACGCCCTCTGATTTTGACATCAATGACTCTATTAACGCGAGGAAGGAAGACAGTGTCGACAACTCGGCCGCTAGTGGACACGACTCGGGCTTTAGCGTAAGTGCGGCGCCCGTTTCAAAACAGAGCAAGCATTACGCCCAACCTGAGCTGGATGTCGCTGACGACGACAAAGCCAATTTTGACACCATTATGAAGGGAATCAATGGGGATAAAGTGGACGACTCTTCTAACTCGTTTTCCACGAGTGCATCGAACGAATCAAGCTGTAGCGACAGCCGCGATGACGAGCCCAAAGTGTTGGACAAGTTCTCGGACGATATGATCACTGGTGGAAGCAACGACGATGACACCTACACCGCAACCAAAGGCAAGACTAAATTCGGCATCAAGAACCCCCTGGATGACGACAGTGACAAGGAGCAGCTTGATGACATTTTAAAAGAGCTGTCAACAAGCGAGTCAAACGACCAAAGTGATAGCGGCAGCTTTTCAACTGAGCCTTCGATGATCAAGGAAGACCCAAGTAGCTCCGATGACTTTTCCTGGATGAAGTCCTCTCTGTACAATAATGAATCGCCGGTTGCAAAGGGACCGAAGCAGTCTTACGTTGAAACCTTTAGTGGTTCAAGTCCCAATGCTGGGTCGGATGAAGACAAGTTTGACATCGAATTTCCATTGGCTGACTCCGACAGTAGCGACTCTAATTCTGAAAGTTGCTCAGACTCAAAGTCGACGTCGACAGATTCGACTACCACTGCTGCTGAGGAAAAACCTTGCCATGTGAGCTGGTGGCGTAAACTTGCATTTTGGAATAGTGTGCATAAGTGTTCGGAATTACGCCGTCTACGCACTGATCTAGATTAAGCGCGAGAACTGAGAGGATGTATAAAATGAGCAAATGAACTTTCAGTTTTAATAGATTTGATTTGTCTACAGCTTTAGAACGTGATGAATCTCTAATTTGCTTGATCGGATCTTACTGACAAGAGTGTCTGATACTGAGAATGCTTCGGTCAGTCACAACTGGAATTAGTAGCGGCGATGCTTTGGGGTGGCTTGGTGTACCAACACCAATTTAAGGTCAAACGCAAGTTATCTTAGCGTATCACCAAATCCTTCAATCTTTCGTTCATACCGGATCCTTGGTATTTGTTTCTTAATTCTCACCTCAGCTGAGCCCAAAGTTTTGTTTCTCCAGACGTTCTCCGATAAAATCGCCACAGAATACTCCAACGTCTTATTTTCGAGCCTCTCAAAAGTCGAGTTTGGGCGACCATCACTACTAAGATAATCTTTTGTTCATTAGTTTCCACAATCTGCATGATGACAAACTTGCTCTCACACTCATATACGATATCTTAAGGCTTGTCAGGTGCCTTCATGGCTCGCAGCGACTCTTGACGATTCAGCGATTTATCTATCGGCTTCACCATTTGAGTAAACGTTCTAATCAGGCGCGCCAACCACTCACCTTCAAGCATTCCTCTTCCTTAAGAAGAAGCAGTAGAATCAATGTCCTCCCTCCTCAGATGTACTCCTCGAACAGTGATGAACCCCGGTGGCCACCACGGCATATAGCCAGCCAGCTGTTAGATTTCATCATTTGATCCGAAATGAATTCCTTCAATTGGTCCTGACAGCTTGTGTGCACTCTCCTGACACTCGTCCATCACCGCGTGGTCACTTTGCAAAGTTTATTTAACTTGGTCGTGGTATCTATCAGGCTAACAAATACCATAATCATGAGAAAGTGTAATGACCTTATCGAGTATCATTTTTTTCGTGATTCGCAACGTCTTGTCCTTCCAATTAATCAACAAATCTTCCACTCTGTCTTCAGTTTTCGACAGTTACAACAATTAAGATGAATGGGACTGGTTGACGGAAACCTCCAGTCACTTATGGGCTTTTGGTTTTCCACACTATTCCTATAAACTCGCTACCGGATGTCGCCTACGCGATGATTAACTCGGTTGATCCCTTCAGCAGCTCGTCTGCGTGCGAGCTTGGTGTGCAAACGACTCAGGACTAAAATAAAATTCTCGTTCTGATTTACGTGTTATCTTTCGACCCTGTTCCAATTTTGTGCGCTACACATGACAGGACAGCATCACTAGAACTGATTTCAAAATATACCCTCGCGTCATTTGCATGAGATAGCGCAGCTCACTAGTCTGGTCGTAACTTCTTTCAGTTGTTCACTATAATCGGATTGGATTCGTAACTGATCTAGCAAAGTCCACCTGGTTACGGAAAGCTCAAATGAGCCATGACAAACTGAAATTTTGTCTGTCCACCACTACCATGTCAGGATCTATGCAGGCCGTGACGGTTTGGCTGGTGTGTCGTGATAATTTCATGACCTAATTTTGAGATACGTGACTCTGTTTCATCAGTTTACAAGCTTGATGTCCCTCAGCACGCGTTGATGTTGTCAACGGAAGAATATGATTTGGAAGTATATGATTGCAGAGTAACGATAAGAGGAATTCCTTCATTAGTGACCAGAATAAGCTCGAAATCTGCGTCTCCAACATGTAAGTGAAAAGGTACAGCTTTCGAGTCTAGTGGCCAACGCGACTTTATGTGGCGAATGCGTAACATGGTAAAGTTGGCAAACACGTTCGACAGCTTCTTTTATTAAAAACATCAGTGGGAGCTTTGGCAGCAGGCAAGTCAGTGATGACAAAAGACTACATTTGTGGTGCTTACTGTAGCATTCCGGTAAGACTCTTGGATAAATTTGAGTAAAACAGACGCAGCTAAAGTCGACTTCTAGTTGTGTCTAAGCATTAAAGATTCTCAGCGGTAAATATCGCTATGGCTCTCTTCAAGGTGGCATATCATGAATAATTGTCAAACGTGATATGCACGTGTGTATTTCTGCCATCGATAGGCATTGTATCCTAACAGGGCTGCCATTCCAGACATTGCGCTTGCGTGATACATGCTTGATCATGTAACTAAAAGGCATAAGAAAGCACATTTCACTTTGCTTTTTGGTATGTTGAGTCCTTACGTTATTGTTCAAAGATGTAAGGTTGCTTGAAAATGATCAAGAATATTAGAAAGACATCGGCTGGTCCTGACAATGACTTTCTCTGCTTGTACCATCAGCAATAAATTCACTTTGGGCAGGTAATAATCAATTTGTAGCTTCTTGCTTCTGCCATTCGATGGTTAAGTCGACTTCCATTAGAATGACGGTAGCCAAGAATGACAACGCGACCACGTAATAACAACAGCAGTCAAAAAAGTTAGATTTTGATCTTGAAAATTACCATTTCGTTCAATTTAATTCTTGTTCTACCTGTAGGTGCTCCTGTCGCTACGTTTGGAAGAACTTATTGACTGTAGCCACCACCACCACTTGAAAAAGCCGTTAAGTTAGACGCCTGGATCATGTATATGTCTGATAAACTGCATCAAGAGCCCTATAGATGTTACGACAACTGTAGAAGCCGTCGCCGCCAAGAACGAAAAAGATTGTTTGATGGTCTATTTGTCGCCGCAAACGTTGTCATTGATAAGTGGTTGCGTTGTTTGACCTTCATTTATTGCACATCGAATACTCCTTCATCAAGTATACAGCTTAACTGCTTCTCCTACCGTCGGAACCACCGCGGATATAATGTCAAAACCACGTCTAGTTGGCATCTTTCACAGTCAAGTGCAAGATGCGCAACCTCGACTTCAGCTTTTAGCGTCATTCTCAACCATTGTCAGCGACCTCCGCCGACCGAATTCGCCGGAATAACAAGAGCTCGCAAAGACGGCGAAACAACTCTGAAATGCTAGCTAAAATGGATATCTAAGATAGATGTTTGCTATGTGTGATATCCAAATTACGTGAGTTTAGCAGAAGAGCATTCCCACAATAAATCATGACTTTCAGATTGTAGTACTTCTGAGCTTTGCTCTGCGTTCAGGGACCATGTGTACGTATGATTCGTTCTTTGAATTGACAACTGTTTAGCTTACATTACTCTGAATACTTCGTGCTTTGTTTGTGGGTATTTCTAATGAGATTAAGTGCTGAAAGAAATATTTATAAGCGTGTCTTCACAAACACGTAAACAGGATTCCACTTTTCCTCAAGATTTTGATCAAATGAAATCTCATCTTATATCGTAAGCTATAGATGCCAGTGCACATTTGAAATGAAAGCTTTTATGTTAGATACAACCAATGCTCATGTCCACTTTGGACATTAAAAGACCTCTTTAGACCGCGAGCTTCATTAATCGATAAAAATGAGTAAATGTGTGTTGCAGGACAAAATGTGCTCTTACTTGTGAAAGCAAGGATTGAAGACTACACAATATCAGACTTAAATATTTTCAGATGGAAGATCTTGCATTGTGGGCGTTTAAATTGATAAAACAACAAGCAAAAGATTTGTAAAACATGACTATACTCAACAGCTCCCTATCGTTTCTTAAACCTAAGATGCTGTTGATAAGCCTTCAAAACTATTTAGTCGCTAAGCACATGAAAACTTGGGTTGATACTCAAGTACTAAAGCTTAGTTGAAATCCAAGCGAAGTCGGCGACTTTCGGAACACTTGTGCTCACTATGCCAGAATGCAAGTTTACGCCACCAGCTGACATGGCAAGGTTTCTCTGGTTCAGGAGTAGGGGCAGGAGTGGGAGCAGGAGTGTCTGCATCTGTATCCGCGGATTTGTCATCATCAGCGCTACTTCCTGATGAAGTTTCAGAGTCAAGAGATCCTGGCATAGGGTATTTCTTGAGTAAATCGGCAACAGTTGGGCCTTTTGGTTTCTTGTCACTCATTGACAAAAGATCGTCCATATAAGGATCACTCATAGATCCGGTAGGCGGTGTGTACGCCATCTTTTGACCCTTCGGTTTTTCTGATAGGTAAGACAAATCAAGTGCGTCACTACCATCGTCGCTGGTGTCGATGGATCCAGGCTTACTAAGAGACTCGAGAATTGCGTCTAACTCTTTCTGATCCATCTTCGTAAGGGAGTTTAAAACACCAAGACCTCCACCAGCAGCAGCAGCGGGTCCAACAGCAGCCTCGAGCTTGTTCTTGTTTGCCGAAATTGTAGAAGCGTCAAGGTTAGCAGTATGTGGGTTTGTTTTGATTGGCGGGTACATATCGGAGAGGCTTCCGGACTCGCTTGAGTCATCCGAATGATCATCAGATAACCTTTTCAGAATCTCATCTAGCTTTTTCTCTTTCTCGTCATCAAACGGACTCGTTAAACCAGTTTTGCCTCCAATTGTAGGGTCCTGGCCGTAGGGAGAAACGTTCTTGCTATCGGGTGTCTTGTAAACGAAATCGTCGTCACTGCCGTCAGTGTACAAGCTCGCGGATTTTGAAGAAGGCTTTCCAGAAATTGGCTCGTCTGGAAGTGAGGCGTACAGATCATCATCATCCACTTTGGAGGTGGGTTTTGGCTTATATACACTGCTCGAGGGTTTGGAAGTTGACTCGTCCGGAAGTGGGGTGTATAGATCATCATCATCCACTTTGGAGGTGGGTTTTGGCTTGTACGCACTGCTCGGTTTGGAGTATAGGTCACTCATGTCGCTTCCGTCAGTCATCGGGTACGAACCCTTCGAGGAATGTTTTGAGATTGGCCACCAGTCATCCAAACTGCCGTTTTCACTCGAATCATCCGAGGCACTAGAAGGGTACTTGTTGATATCACCATTCGCAATTTTACCACTTTTACCCTTAGTAGCTGAATACATAGTAGCGCCTCCAGCAGCAGCTCCCAAACCAAGGTCGTCGTCATTTTTACTAGTCTTCGAGTGGGTGACTGGGACATCGTCGTCATAATCGAACTGTTCAGTGTCCATGTTGTAGTTTTTAGTGGGTGATGCTTCAATGGATGGATAAGCATTAGATCCAGATGCGTCTTCCACGGGACCAAGGTTCTCGTCCTTGTAGTACTTGGTCCAGGTAGCATAGTCGTCGGTGTCACTGTCATTGGATGTCGAAGACATTGGTGTTGAGCTTTTGGTAGACACAGTGGAAGCAAGTCCTGTTTTTGATGGAACACCCGGTTTGGTACTGGTCATGTTGTGCAAGATATCATGGAGGTCATCTTCGCTCAAAGCATACAATGCATTGAGCTTGGCGTGATCATCGCTACCAGCTGCACTTCCTAAGGCGTTGTTGAGAACCTGCTTGTTGGATTTATGAATAGCATGAATGTCCTCGTCATTCTGAAGTGTGTCACTTGCGTCTCCTGTCGATGGAGAAACTGAAGGCTCGTCACTGTCGGATGCGTCGGATGCGTCCACTGTCGGAGTATAAGGACGCGTTGGTACCGCGCTTCTCTCTTCAAAATATTTGCTGTAAGCTTCGAGTTCTTTAGGGTCCATTAATGCAGATTGGAAACCAGGCGCAGAGACCAAAGTTACAGCAGCAATCAACAAAGACGTATTCACGCGCATTCTTGATGAACGAAGAGCTTAAGAGTTTGATCGGTTGGTGTCGCTCGAGCGCAAATTGCAAATTGAATGTTGGACCTTTAGGCTTACTACGTTCTTGTCTAGCTGGCTACATTCTTATGATGCAGCTGGAAATCACCCATCCGTATGTTCGGACTATTCAATGCGACAGCTTGTGTATCGATGTATTCAGGCATAGCTCGTGAAGGATTCGAGCGAATGAAATCATTTCAAAAAAGCCTTCTGTTTGACTAGTCTCCTGAGAAAAACACATGTTCTCGCAAGATGAGAACAGATCTGTAGACTTCTTTTAAATTTTCCATTTAAATAGCCAGAGACTATGTCCAGTTTACTCTCTGGCTGGAAGAGATCTAAGCTGATCGGATCAGCTAAGATGCGGATTTGCTTGCATCTTAAAGAGCAGATGGATACCTGATCCAAGGTATAGCCAGAAATGGAAAGTGACGTAGGATGTGAAGCGAGACATCATAATGATAAGGTTATTAATACATAGAAATATATAGAGAAAACATTCATAACTATGGAATGGTCGATAGCATTCCTCTTTACTTGGTCGACGTGTAGGAGTTCGAGTTGTGTTTGGAGTATGTTCGAACACACTTTTGCATAGAAATGAGTAGACACATTGTATGAAGAGATGGGAAGCAGAACAGAAAGGGTCTCTCTGCCAGGTTCTAATCACTATCTCAAGCACAGATGAGACTCAACTCTCCGATTTGAAGAAATCAAGAGCTGTTCGAGAATAGCAGATTCACATATGAATTGTTTTAAATATTTGCTGAAATATTCTATATTGTACCCACGGAAGATAAAAATTGCCGAAAATGATGTTTGATTATATGCAATAAATGATTTTTGGTAATATTTTGAGCTCAGCGAAATTTAAGAAAAAATACAAACAAGTTATAGATACGCAACGTGAGTAAAAAAAGATATTCTAACGACTGGGTGGTGATTGGATGACCACAAATTTACTAGACGCTCATTGGTCGTTTTAATCTTTTCTTGAACATTTTTTTCTCCAGTGATATTTGATTGTTCTCTGTTGATACTGCAAGCGGATAAAAACGGCCATAGGACTCATCTTGTTCTATCTCTGCAGATTGTATCTTTTGCCCAATTGAAGCATTACAGTATGGTCAACAATGTTGTTTAAATCACAAGAATGTATCGCTTTACGAAATGTACATGACACTTGGTGTAATTATGGATGGTCACACACCAGTACTTGAGAATATGGTGGGAAGTCCATGACATACTTGAGCTGTGTTGAACAATAAGTCACTTTTCTTTTGAGTGTATAAGAAACTATGTGTTTTTGTTCAAGTCAGATTAGAGATAAACTTACATATGTGTACTTTTGAACAAAGCAAATATACATTGTGAGTAACCTTTAGACAATCTAACCTCTTTGCGTTTGCAAGCGCGGTCTCTGGGAATTAAAACCTCCACTATGCAAAGTGCTAGGCTATCCGTCGTGCTTGGTGGCTCTCCTCGAAAATATCATCCCCGAGTCGTCAAGGGGGGATATCCTCTGCTATGAAGGAACGTGATATGTACGAACACATTCGGTCTCGGATAGACCACCGTAGCACCGAGCAAATGGCTCCCATTGTGAGGACTCTGGCTTTGAGTGACTTGGCATTCGGGAACTCTCAAGATAAAATTTTATCTTCTGATCAGAAAAGAAGAGATGGCCATGTATTTGGCATTTCTCCGAGCAAAGTGACAGCGCGCCGCGCCTGCGATCTCCAATTCAATAGGCCGCGCGTTTGAATGAATGAGCACCAACGTACAATACCTCAAGGAAAGGCGCTCCCAACGCTAAAAAAATTGTAGCTAAAAATGCCGCGGTATTCACACCGCCTGTTCAGGTGTATTGGGTGCGCTCGAAGCTTGTATTCACGCGTAAAGCTGGCCGAGTATGACCGGATGTAGGTATCAATTATTGCTACAATGGCGTCTGTTCGCTCCCGAGGGTGGCAACAATTACCATTTTGACGGACTGTGGCCAGAGGTGTATCTGTCCTCTCCCGGTGGAGGCAACATTACCATTTTCATGGAAAAATCTTTAAACGCGTGTAGCTTGCAACCGGGTATTTCTCCTCCACACCAACGCTGTCGAGGAAGCGGTGTAGCGTCGCGATAAATGTGAGGTCTTACTACTGCACTGCTATAACAGAATGAGGTGCTAAAATTGGAAGGTCTGCGAGCGCACCAGGTGTGTGTAATATCTATGAAAAGATGGAGGGTGTTGGCTGCTAACCGGCTCCGTAGAATCCGCAGATTTATCTGCGGCAGCACAAAACGTCTACGTCTTGCGTGCTCCCTTTGCTATCGGCTAAGGAATACAAATGGTCGAATTTTTCAAACATGTAACGGGGTTACACATACCTTGGTAACAGGGGGGGATGTCACACCAGACGGACATGGTATGACCACACCCAAACAAGAATACGGTACGGGGCTAGATAGCCGATAGTTATACATGTATTCTGATTTTACTACACATATTTAGGAAAATCTATACTTTTAAAATAAGGCGGTTTAGCCGCAAATAGAAATAAATAAAAATCAGATTTGGATTTTAAACCGAAGAGTCAATTAGCCTTGGGAAGGCAATAATTATCCTTGGAGTAAGTGGATTGCGATCCGCTAACTCGTACTTGTTCTAAGTATAGATCGTAAGATCGGTGACCTAAATTACGATACCTCAAGCTCTAAGCTACTGCTGCTCCGCTGCAAAACACGTGAGAACGACAAGCCCTTCATGATAAATCACCGATCCAAATAAGCGCGGGACGGCTCAATGGTTATAGTTTTTAGCTCTAATGTATTTAGTGGAAGTACTGACCAATGGAATCTAGACCCAAGAAAACAACTCTTGCTTAGAAAAAGGATTGCAGTTGAACGCAGTCGCATCTGGATAATCGCGTTCTGATACCCGCAAAACCGTTGATGTGATGGCATGATGGCCATCGCTAAGATATAACATTCAAGGCGCGACTGTCGAAACAATAAGATGTCCGCGTTTTGGGAATGATCTTATCCTCGATATGAGGTGACTGAAACGCCTTGATCCATGAACAACTGAGATTCAAAAATCTCCGGCGCCATGTACTCCTCATCCAATAAAGGTTTGACGAGCCATAGATTCACCTCTGTCAGACACTAAAAAGATTTTAGCGCGGGTGCAATTGTGCAAACGTTGTCGTACATGGCATGCCCAGAATTTGTAGCAGGATAGAGCTGGGTGTCTTGAGCAGGTCTAGAAGTACATAAATGGTAATAACCAACGTATCGAGGTCAGATCGATAAAGCAGCAGTATATCGCCGCTTTTAGCGTATATCTACTGATACGATAAACGACTATTTTACGTCGAGGTCCCAGATTGATCTTCAGGTGGAACTATATATACAGCTATAGATGCATGTTCAGCGCGCGGAGCAGTAACGTCCTTCGAGTTCGCGACGAAAAAAGCGATCTACTCGGGTATGAAATGCCCGAAGTAATTTTAGCGATTGTAAGTCCTTCGTACTTCGGAAGAATCACTTACTCGGCTGGAGCAAATATCCAACCGGAGATGCGCAAGAAATTGCAAGAAGGGTTATGAGATAAAATGAGCTGACCATTCGTAATGGATGAATCTAATCTCACAGAGCACTGAATGCTGGGAAAGGAACAGCTATCCTTATGATCCGACGAGTTCTTTCATTCCAGCGTTGAGAAGCATCGCGACGTAGTGACGACGAATAGTACCATCGGATAGGTTATGCGTCATAATATTGACATGGCTTTTTAAGCCATATTTTGCGTAATCGACAATAGCTCTTCCCGTAAGAACTGCGTCGTGCCATTGACGTCCTTCTTCGGGCGAAGCGTGATGAAACTCTCCGTGATCTATGTCAATTGGTCTAACGGTAAGTGACAAATCATGCATATTGATAATGCGCGAAATGCATGAACAATCTCGGCGCAAACGCCGCCTCCTAGAAAAGAAGTGCTGCAGATTGCTGTAGAATGGCGTCGCTGGCTAGCCTTTGCTTAGTAATCTATACCAGATGATAGATTCTACGAATCATAGAGGATAGTCAGCAATATCTCTCTTACCGCGGTCAGTTTTCTCAATTGGGGCTCTAAAAGTTGATAATTTTGTCATAATGCATTTTATGTACCAGCGATGTTCAAACCTTTGATAACATAGCTGGGTTGGGTCACAACGTAAATTTCCCCCAAAGTCTTTCCGTCCATAGTCGTGCAGAAAGGGGATAGTCAAACGTGAAGAACTACATCAAAGAACTGTGCGCAAAGTGCGCTTAAATAGGTCACTCTTCTAATCAACATCTGTGTATTTGACGCTAGAGAAAATCGATTTTTGAGCTATTTAGCTGAGAAGAAGGGCTTGCTGGAGTATTCTATGGCGATGAAAGTCGCTGTAGATCGGCCAAAATTTCTTTGCAAAAACTGTTTAGAAATTGCTTCAAAATTTTGCAAGCATCGCTTATTCCCGCATTGATTTCACTGAAATATTTTCAGAGAGCGTTTGGGTGAAATGGATTTAGTGGCTTTTAAATTTGTAAATAAAGCTTCTGGTGTCGCATGATTTTGGCACTGCGGAGTCTAGACCGGTCATTCTGCGTCGTCTGTACTACATCACCATTTACAAAATGCTGTGATTTACTCCAGCAGATTCAAATGAAGCATATGGACTGATTTGTGATAAAACGACTGGGAGCTACTTCTGGTGTAGGTAAAATCCCTTGAAGTTTTTGAACCCACGTCCAGTATGCACCTGAAGAAGCACTCAAGTGCTCGGCAGTTGTATGCTGCTAATAATGATCCACACTTCATCTGTATATGCCATGCAAGTTGAATCCCCGGGTTAGAGAGTATACGAATTCGTTTGGAGTGCCCTTGGGTGGTTACATAGGAAGTGTGTCGATAGGTCAAGCATTCCTCGGAATAGCCACATTGGTGAGCA